GAGAGAACAGATTCTTCGTAGACAAATCAATCACCCGTTCGTGGCAAGGTCACATGAAGGGTCGCGTTATCATTTGCAATCAGCTGTTGTTGCAGCTTTTTGTTTCTCCTCCTTCTGGACTTTCCTTTGTTTTGACTCTTTCGTGATGTGATTGATACCAGAAAGTGACTCGAAGCAAAAAAAGAACGGGAACAAGAATCATCACTAAAGAGGAAAGGGTCATCTACTTCTCTCTGTTCTTCATCAGTCCTTAGAGGTCCACATAGGGTTCCATCATGACACCTCTGGACTACCTTCGCTCCTATTTCCTTCCAGGAAAAGTAAACAGTCGAGCCTGGCCTACAGACTGCGATTTGGTCGCGTAAAATGCATCAATTTTCTGTTTCTGTCAGCGCTCCCTCGTACAGCATAGCGTTTTACGACCTCTGTGACCCTGCCCATTCCAACTTTTCACTTATGAAAGGCTCCCGCTCACTTTTGACGGAGCTCATTCCGGGTTCATCAAAATCTGTTTCACTCCTTTGGACACTCTGCTAGCCGCTGCTATTTATCTGTGTGAGCTGTCTCCCTCCAACCTAGGACTATGACAGCAAGTTCAATTGCATAATCCTGTCACATTTGTCGAAAACATCGTTGAGAGGACGTAGACGAGCAAAACGGACCGCCTCAGCTTTGCGACCAGTTGCTCCCTTTGCCCCCAGGCTCCAGCACCGTTTGTAAAAAAAAGGAGGCGGTCGTACTTGTTCGGTGAGTGAGGATTGCAGCACGTGAGCATGAGATACTTTTTCGTGCTGCAATAGTATGACCCCCTCCCCGTAGTTGCGGCACGGCGTCCGTGAAACCCACCAGGTAACAACATACGCTGTCAATTGCGAGGAAAGCCTCCTTCCCGTCACTTTTTGATTCCCTTCTGCCACTTTCCTCCCGTTCCCCACACAAGCTACTAACATGGAAGCAGCATCAGTGCGCAAATATAATGGTCACAAGAAAAAAATGCGCAGAGGTCCCTTTTACCGCACCTTGGTCATCCATTGAACCTGGCATGCATGGTCATGGAAAAGCGTGAACAAGGAGCGGATAAGGCAGGATCGAGGGATCCACCTTTTTTTTCTTTCTGGCCATCTTACTCGGGCGCTGAAGCCGCTCCTGCAGTAACTCTAATAACTAGTGTAACTGTAACTCTAATAACTATTTGAACCCTCCCTAGTCGATTTTTCTAATCAGTGTTTTTCTACTCGTTCAAGTTTTTTGAGTCAAACTTTTGCATTTCTACTTCCTTTTGATTCTCGGAAGGTGAATTTCACTTGTGTAATCAGTATGTTACCGTTACAGGCGAACAATAAAATCCATTCTGTACGAGAATCGGAAGCGCATCCAGTGAATAGCGAAGTGGTCATACGCCTTGCTCATCAAATAAGCAAAAACTATTCGGTGTCGGCTCCACTATATTGGCAGCAAGGTTAGTGTCTCATACTTAGCAGGTAAAATTGCAAGTAGGTAAATTTTTGTGTTCATTTTGCTGGATCGTATTTCGCTGCCTTACATCGATTAGTGCCGGTGCCTCCCATGGAGACCCGAAATCTTGTAAAGTTGCACAGCAGCATAATCTTTGTTCGTTTTAGACGAAAGTGCGGGTCTTACCAAGGTGAGACGTGTGATTCAACAGGAACTATCAAAGAGTGAAATGACCCCCCACCCTGCCCCTCCCCCTGTGTCGAACAGTGCCAGTTTTTGTTTTCAGCTACTGTGAGGTGGACCTGACCGTTGGTTCTGTAAAGTAACTGAAAAAAAACTTGCTAAGTTCCGTTGTTCTTTTCTGTGACTTGGCTGCAATGTTCGAGAGGGAGCGCCAAAGCAATTCAGAGGGGCTCTCGGTGAAATCAGAAGCGCTGTTTCTGATAGTTAGAAGCTTTGCGAGAGAAAACTCTAGATGAGAGGATGCATGCAAGCGGATTCCAGCCTTTTCCTCCCGTCCATCTTAACTCCAGGTAACATCGTAGTGAAGCTCTGCGCTCGAGTTCTTACACAACCAAAAAATCTGAAAGGCTTTTTGTGTAGCCCGACGCTAAACTATGGGAATTATCTAGTGTCTGGCGTCAGTTGTCAGGTGGCAGTTGGATTTCATGGAAGTTTCCGATACGCTAACACTTTATGACAACCAGTATGACGTCACTATTGTTCTCTGTCGTTTTTTAAACGCTGATAACTGTTCTAATATTGTGATTTCTCAGGTGATCCCTCGCGACCATTCCCTACGGAACCGGAATTCCGTGCGTCTGCACTGGCTGCACCGCGAACAAACCCGCCTGTCGTACCACCTACTTTCAGTCTTCTTCGTCAACAAGCATGTTGCACCGGTTAGTTAGTTTGCTCTGAAAGATACTTCTGCTTCGACTTACCAGTTCCATCAGCTTTATGGATCATTGCGTCCTGTTTCTGAACCATTCTTTACTAGTTATGAAGCCATTTTCAGGGTGGAATGGGTCGTGTTTCTTCACCAATGGCAGGAATGCCACAGATCCCGATGCAGGGCAAGGTTTGGAGCCCTCGCACAGGGTTCGTGTCTTTTTTAGTAGAAATATATATAAACATTTTTTTCCATACAGTGCTTTCCTTTCCGCCTATAACGTTGAAGGCGGTTTCCACGATTGCCATTTGTAGGTAATAGAGTTCAAAAAATGGGACTGTAGTATTCTAGTTATTGACTCACCAATTTGACCCATAAACACCCAATAAGCCTATGCCGGGCAACGTAGCCCGTCACTGTTAAAGGGAAGGAGCTGTTAACAGCAAGAGAGAACTCGTCCTCACGCCTTTTCTTCGCCATATGCACGTACAAGCGTGGTTCAGCCATGGAGTTTTATATGAGGCATTTGAAGGGGTTTTGGTGTTTTTTTCTTTACCTTTATGTTATTTACCATGTTGTTATTAGATTTAAGCCGTAGAAACCACCATTTTTTCAATGTGAGCATGCTATAATTTTACGATCATTTCCAGGTATCAACAAGCCAGCCCGTCTCCTCGTGGCCGTGGAGGCGCTCAATGGGGCGGTCGTGGGGGTGGGCCAGGCGGTGTGTCACCGTTCCAAAAGAGAACCAGTCATATTGGCGAGGTATGATTTGCTTTATTTGCAATTGCTGGTTGGTGTGAACTTCTTTGCTGATTTTATGGTTTTTTTTTTCTCAGAACTCTCCGCGCATGGTTTCACCAACTGTGAACATCAACTTTGTGAGTCCTCCACCACGAATGAATCCTCCGCCAGTGAATAAGGTGGAACAAATGAGCAGTGACAGCAGCTCGAGCTCAAGCAGTGATGACGAAAGCCCGAAATGATCTCGTGACGTTCCTTCAGCGTTCATTTTTACGTCATTGCACTGTTTTGGACAGCAATTTTTTGCAACTCGGCGTTTTTTACGGGTACTGCCGTCCCATTTACTTGCTTCCTCGATCTTGCAGTCTTTGTTTATAGAAGATTTCTAATTTCTATTGAACTGTTTCGCTTCGTTCTTGTTTTCACAACTCTGCGCAGTTCGGCTTGGTGGCGGCATTTTGTTAGTTCTTTGTCAATGACTTCGAATCCCTCTTGTGAAAATGTGTCAATCCCCGTAAAGACATGCACTAGCAGAAGCTTCAGTTTCACTTGGCAGGAGTCTGCAGGTCCGAGCATGTATTCAGCTATTTAACAGAAACTAGCAAAAGGAATTAGAGAAAGTGCAAAATGCCCCTCCTAAGCCGATCAGCGCCCAGTTTTTCTCCACCTCATCTTCCGCTTATTTATGCAGATGTTTGAAGTAAATGTTCAATAAGCAGCCCTCTAGTTTGTTTAAGTTGTGATCATTCGTTGAGCTCCGTTGAACAGATGTTGCCATAGTTTTTTTTCAAGCCTTGTTTTTTGTGTGTTTATCACCCCCTCGAAAGCATACGTCCTTATGAGTCTAATACGGGGGTATGGTAGAAACTTTCGGACAACTGTTTTATTCAATGTTGGTGAGTTTTCGTTGGTTATCGAATTCTGGAATCACATGATTTTTTTTCACTTTTCCTTCTGTGGAACTATTTAGTAGTTCGTACTGACTGTTTTCAGTCAGGACTATTGCATGTTTCTCTTTTACCGCCTTGCTCGCCGCGGATGAATGGGGCTTGTCAGTGAGGCTGGGTTTGGCTCGCCACCAGCTTTTACCAATATTACTGAAGCGGGTAAATGACAATAACTGGTGGAGAACGTTGGATACGTTTCTATGACACAGTGTTGTTGCTTGCCGAAGAGAAAAGAAAAAGCGGACTGGCGCACCGCCATACCCATCCAAACTTGACACGCCTATCCATCTTTTAGCGAACAAAGCTGAATTCTCAGGTCTCATCGATTTCCAGTTCGTTGTTCGTTGTTATCATGTGTGCAATTCGAAATCAGTTTAGGTGCTGTGATGGATCTGCGTTGGCGTCTCTGCTTTTATACTGTTGAAGAGAATGCTTCCATACAGCTGGGCTGCACTTGGAGTTAGTGATATGGAGGTTTAGCAGCCGTGATGGGTCGATCCCTTATTCAAGCCGTGGCCACATGCATCACCTAACCCTGCTAAACGTCGGATTTCTTGGATGGCGCCAGTAGCACCCCCATACTAGAGGGTGCTCTGTGCTCGGGCGCACGCGAACTTAATATCCTCGTTTCAGAGCTTTCACAAGCGAAAGTTTGACCTCGCGGGAAGGTCGTCCATTGTATTCATTTTCACGTTGTGCGATCCCAGTTGGAACCGTTGTGGTCCAGCGGCCATATTCAGAGCGCACGACGTGCCCGAACTGCCTAATTTTTGGAACTTTGGCCAGTTTTTGCTGCGTTATTCATACTCCACCATTGACGGAGTTAGAAAATCCGGATTCCGCGTTGCACTCGCGTGAAGAGATAAGCTCCAGCCAGCACTGTCTTCCCCACGCGCGCTTAATAACGCTGAAGCTGTGCCACCTTGCCCGTTTGTAGGAGTCCAAGTACCTGAACTGAGCTAAACTGTTGATCATGTTGGGTTCCCGACACAGGTAGCCATACATAGCTGAAACATTCAGTAAGGTTCGTTTCCTCTTTGAGCGACAATAGGGCATTTAGGAAACATCTGTTTTCACGCGACCGCACGTGGTCTTCCTGTTTGCGGCGCAAAGGCAATCTCTTTCGGGGCGGAGTTACCTCAGGAACATTCACTCTGCTTTGCTCGCATATTTGCATGTTATCAGAAAACGATGTCGTCAGCAAAGCGGAGATGGATGTAGTTGCCGACCGTCGATCTTCACTCCCATGTCTTCCCATTCCAGTTGACGCATGACGTTCTCGAGAGAGGCGCTGAAAGAGCTTGGCGCCGAGATGTGTCCGTCCTGGCGGACCCTCTCTTCACATTCAATGATGGCTCTCCTTGCTAGAATTGGTGAAACTTTGCGTCGCGTGAAAGTTTGCTGCCAGAGCTCACGAAGAATCCTGATGTACTGAGTAGGAATACCCTGGTTGCCCAGGGCTTCGATAACCGCTTCTGTCTCAACGGAGTCGAAGGCTTTCTTCAAGTCGATGAACGTGAGACATAACGGCACCGTGTACTTCCAGTAAGCTTCGCACCGCGTGTATGTGATCGATCGTGCTGATCCTTTTTGAAACCCTGCTTGTTCGCATGGCTGTCCTTCGTCTAGTGCTCTGCCAATCCTGTTCAGGATGACTCGTGTGAAGAGTTTGTAGACTACAGACAGCAGGCAGATTGGAGCGATAATGTCGCACAGTCTCCCCTCGTACTGCCCAGTTTACTGGGCAGCTATTCTACATCAGTTACTATATCGTTGGGTACTATCTCTCCCCATGCTCAAAAACCTAAGGACAAGCTGAACAGCGATTCGTGCGAGAGGGCGGTGCGCTTGCTACTAACGTCATTGGTGGAAGAGTGAAGTGGGGTGTGGCTAGACGCTCTCGCAGGCCTCCACCACCGACGTATGGCGGCAGCCGCCCGCCTTCAGCCATAGTGCCGCAACTGCTCGAAGTGGGCCTCTGGAGCCGCCTTACAAATTCAACCCGCCATCCCCGAACTCTGAAGGCAGCTCAGCAAAGGGGGATGGATTTACACCGTGCACAGATCATTCACACCGAAATGATACGAAGGTTTTTTACTTCCATTATTGTGATAAGTAAATGCAGTTTTGTGAGTGTTGTTTTCCATTTGCTCGGAGCGGTTTTCATCGCTAGTTCTTTCTTCTACTTTACCTAGTGATGTGTTATGAGTACGGTCAGTGTATAGCTGCTCAAAAAATTGTTTTGAATTCAAGAATGGCTCCCATCGTCAAAGACGTCCACGATGATCAAGCTTATTTTGTCAAAGGTCTGATCGATGAAGAGCTTACCATGGAGGATGGTTTCGAATCATACTTGTTCAGCGTATGTTTGCTTTGATTTTTTATTTTGGTTCTTATGGGAAATGTGGTTTTGGAGGGAGGGGGGGGGGTATCACGCGGCGAGCGACTATGCTGCGCATGTCCTCTTCCTGTAATCGGAACGGGAGAGTGCATTTGCTCACTAAAATTGATCCCTTCAAAAAACATGAGGTAAGGAGTTTGATGTGGCCCAGTAGAGCGCCCCTGCTTGCGCCCATCCAAATCGCCAATTCCCTTTTGCTTTATTCTAGGAGTAAGCAATGGGATCTGGCCTCGCGACCGCTTGGTTTTGATCCTTTGGAAGTCAGCCTTCTGCTTTCGCCAAGCTTTACCATAAGTAGCGCATGCGCGATCGACGCTATCGCGAATTCTGACCTTGACAACTGTATTTTTTTCACGTTTGGCTTTGTGGCGGCCACCAATAACCACTGCACTTTCAGGTCACTTGAAAGCTTGTAAATGCTTGTAACCAAAGTGCTCGCTCGCTTGTGCCATTTTGCAGCTTCATTTTGCAAGAGTTTACAAGTCTGACCAGAATGAGAGCAGTAGTTAATGCGAATCAGCAGAAAAAACAGCCAAGAGTGCAGAATGTAACCTCAAGCCCAGCAGCGCCCATTTTTCATAAACTTAGGGTAGAATTATTTTTCAGGTGGGCGAATACAACAATGCAGTGGGTACTCCATTCAAATTACCCCATGATCCTGATACTGTCTGTGTTCTGATAATAAGTACGCCGAACATGTTCGATGTTTCGTTCAAAAGATGGATTCAGACGAAATTCAAAGAGGTAGTGTATCTTCCGCCATCTGTTTTTCATCTGTTTTTTTTGTTTCTTTATCATAAATCAATTTCTATCACTGCCACGTACCCCTTTCATGCTGAAA